GGTGATTGCAAAGTGAAGCCTTTGTTAGTGTATCACTCTGAAACTCCCAGACCGTTCAGGCAAAAGAATATCCTCAAGGCTAATTTGTGTGCTGTGGAGGGCAAACAGTAAGACATGGGTCACTAGGGACTTTTTCTATGACTGGTTACACCAAGCATTTGCCCCCAATGTGAAAAATTACCTAACTGAAAAGAAATTAGACCTTAAGTGCCTCCTGGTGTTAGACAATGCCCCTGGTCATCCTACAGACGTGGCAGAGCGACTTTGTGGGGACATGAAATTCATTAAGGTGAAGTTTTTGCCTCCTAATACCACTCCTCTCCTGCAGCCCATGGACCAGCAGGTTACTGCAAACTTCAAAAAACTGTACACAAAAGCTCTGTTTGAAAGGTGCTTTGTAGTGACCTCAGAAACTCAATTGACTCTAAGAGAGTTTTGGAGAGATCACTTTAATATCCTCAATTGTGTAAACCTTATAGGTAAGGCTTGGGAGGGAGTGACTAAGAGGACCTTGAACTCTGCTTGGAAGAAACTGTGGCCAGAATGTGTAGACCAAAGGAATTTTGAAGGGTTTGAGGCTAACCCTGGGAATCCTATGCCAGTTGAGGAATCTATTGTGGCATTGGGAAAGTCCTTGGGGTTGGAGGTTAGTGGGGATGATGTGGAAGAGTTGGTGGAGGAGGACAATGAAGAACTAACCACTGATGAGCTGCTAGATCATCTTCATCAGCATGAGGCCACACCTGAGGAAACTGGTTCGGAGGAGGGGAGAGAGAAATTGAAGAATTTGCCTACTTCAAAGATTAAGGAAATATGTGCAATGTGGCTTAAAGTGCAAACCTTTTTTGATGACAATCACCCTAACACAGCTATTGCAAGCCGTGCTGGTGACTATTACACTGACAATGTTGTGAACCACTTTAGGAAAGTCATAAAGGAACGGGAGGTACAGGCCTCTATGGACAGATATGTTGTGCGACAGAAGTCCAGTGACTCTGAAGCTGGTCCTAGTGGCATTAAAAGAAGAAGGAAAGTAACCCCGGAAAAGGACTTGACACCTCAAGTCTTAATGGAAGGGGATTCCCCTTCTAAACACTAAGACTCTCTCCTCCTTCCATCCCATCAATCATCACCAGATCTTCAATAAAAGTAAGTGTCATGTAACTGTGCATGTCTTTTTCAGTTTGTGTGTATTAAAATTAATATTTCATGTGGTAAATTTTTTTTTTTTTTCATACTTTGGGGTGTCTTGCACGGATTAATTTGATTTCCATTATTTCTTATGAGGAAAATTCATTCGCATAACGATAATTTCGCATAACAATGAGCTCTCAGGAACGGATTAATATCGTTATGCGGGGGTCCACTGTATATATATATATATATATATATATATATATATATATATATAATATATATATATATATAATATATATATATATATATATATATATATATATACAGTGGACCCCCGGTTAACGATATTTTTTCACTCCAGAAGTATGTTCAGGTGCCAGTACTGACCGAATTTGTTCCCATAAGAAATATTGTGAAGTAGATTAGTCCATTTTCAGACCCCAAACATACACGTACAAATGCACTTACATAAATACACTTACATAATTGGTCACATTCGGAGGTAATCGTTATGCGGGGTCCACTGTATATATATATATATATATATATATATATATATATATATATATATATATATATATATATATATATATAAATATGCAAAACAACCCACTCTGAAAGAATAGAGAAATTCCAAGCGCTTTCGTGACTACTCACATTATCAAGGAACTATGAAAGTGAAGCATCCAAGGAAGCTATATAAGGGGTCCGGCCAGCACCTCACTATCAGATCCCACAACGGTTAAACACATGACGCGCGGCGAGCCAACTTGGATAGGTCCCTTGTAAAACTCACCCCCAAACTATTCTACCCAAGAAAATTTAAAAATTATTTGTCCAGTGTATTATTAAATTCTTCCCAAATTCTATTAATTATAAATGGATCTAATTTATATAAACCAAAGGAAATATTCATATTATTGTCAAAACTGCTTTTTATGAAACAAGATTCAATTATATTCCTGTCGACCATGGACTTGCTAGATACTACTTTCTCAACTTTTTGAAAATCAATTGGATGGTTAAAATCTCTTACATGAATAAATAGAGCATTGGAATCTTGTCGTTCTAATGCTATATTTATGTTGTTTTAATCTTAGTTCGAGATTTTTACCAGTTTGACCGTAATAAACTTTATCGCAAATTTTACAAGGAATCTTATAGACACATCCATCAGCATTTTGGGTGGAATTCTTTATCAAAAGTTTTTTTACTGTATCAAGATTTTTGAATACAACTTTAATATTAAAAGTCTTAAGAAGAGAAGGCATATCAACCAAGTTTTCATGGTAAGGGAGAACCAACATATTTTTAGTTGAATAAGGCTGGTTGCCCCTTTTTGGATTATAAAGTGTTTCTAGCAACTTTAAAAGATTTATCAATTACATTTCTTGGGTATTTTAAATCATTACCTATTTCATAAATTTTGGATATTTCCTCATCTATGAACTCAGGACTACAAATTCGTAAAGCTCTCAAAAACATTGATGAGAAAACAGACAGTTTGACTCTATCTTGATGCGAGGAATAATAGTGGACATAGGAACAGTTATTTGTAGGTTTTCTGTAAATTTTAAATTTGAATTCATTATTACCCTTAATAATTAAAACATCTAGAAAAGGCAATGAGTTATTTTCTTCAAACTCAACAGTAATGTTTATAGAATGGGCTAAGCTATTTAATTTTCCTAGGAAATGGTGTATATCTACATTTTTGGGCATAAGACACAAAATATCATCAACATATCTGAACCATTTAGCTCTATTAGGGAGGATTGTGTTAAGCAACCTTGATAATGTGAGTAGTCACGAAAGCGCTTGGAATTTCTCTATTCTTTCAGAGTGGTTGTTTTGCATATTTTGAAATCACCTGTTTACTGTGATCTTATTGCATATATATAAATATATATATATATACAGTGGACCCCCGGTTAACGATATTTTTTCACTCCAGAAGTATGTTCAGGTGCCAGTACTGACCGAATTTGTTCCCATAAGGAATATTGTGAAGTAGATTAGTCCATTTCAGACCCCCAAAGATACACGTACAAACGCACTTACATAAATACACTTACATAATTGGTCGCATTCGGAGGTGATCGTTATGCGGGGGTCCACTGTTATATATATATATATATATAATATATATATATATATATATATAATATATACACACACACACACACCTACCATCCGAGTTACGACCGAGTTCGGTTCCGAGAAACTGGTCGTAAGTCGAAATGGTCGTAAGTCGAACTTTACTACTGAATATCAACAAAACATTTTTGTAATTACTTTATTTTATTGTTTTATTTTGGTATTTCATGTCTTACTTCACTTTTTATGCTGTTAGTACTGTATTTTATACTGTAAGCTTTAGGATAAACACTGTGTACAACACAAATAGTTGTTTATTTTCCAGAAATTTGGCATAAAAAACACGGTCGTAAGTCGAGTGGTCGTAAGTCGAGCAGGTCGTAAGTCGAGTGGTCGTAAGTCAAGCAGGTCGTAAGTCGGATGGTAGGTGTATATATATATATATATATATATATATATATATATATATATATATATATATATATATATATATATACAGTGGACCCCCGCATAACGATGGCATCACATAGCGATTATTTCGCATACCGCTTACTTTAATTGCAAAAATTTTGCCTCACATACCGCTTAAAAACCCGCTTACCGATTTTCGTCCGAGACGCGTCCAATGTGCGGCCTGAGCCACGCTCACATGTTCCGCCGGTGGCATTGTTTACCAGCCAGCCTCCGCGGTAACATCCAAGCATACAATCGGAATATTTCGTATTATTACAGTGTTTTCGGTGCTTTTTCTGGAAAATAAGTGACCATGGGCCCCAAGAAAGCTTCTAGTGCCAACCCTACAGCAATAAGGGTGAGAATTACAATAGAGATGAAGAAAAAGATCATTGATAAGTATGAAAGTGGAGTGCATGTCTCCGAGCTGGCCAGGTTGTATAATAAACCCCAATCAACCATCGCTACTATTGGTGGTACAGCTGCTGCTGCTGCTGCACTGTCAGCTGCTGCTGCTGCTGCACTGTCAGCTGCTGCTGCTGCTGTAGCACCGTTGTTGGTGTGGCTTATTGAGAATACCAAGAAACAATTAACCCCAGAGGATTTGCCACCCAGGATAACCCAAAAAAGTCAGTGTCATCGAAGACTGTCTAACTTATTTCCATTGGGGTCCTTAATCTTGTCTCCCAGGATGCAACCCACACAAGTCGACTAACACCCAGGTGAACAGGGAAAAAATGCCTGGAACTAGTGCTCATATTGGTGAATTTAAAGCCAGCAAAGGTTGGTTTGAGAGATTTAAGAATCGTAGTGGCATACACAGTGTGATAAGGCCTGTTCTGGAAGAAAATGCCAAACAGGACCTACAGTACTCAGGAGGAAAAGGCACTCCCAGGACACAGTGTCTCATCATCATTGCTGCATCTTCAATAAAGGTAAGTGTCATTTATTCTTCATTTAGTAGACTAGTACATGCACAATATATACTGTGCATGTACTACTCTACTATTGTGCATGTATCCTTCTCTTTGTGTGTGGGAAAATGTATATTTCATGTGGTAAAATTTTTTTTTTCATACTTTTGGGTGTCTTGCACGGATTAATTTGATTTCCATTATTTCTTATGGGGAAAATTCATTCACATAGCGATTATTTCGCATAACAATTACCCCTCTTGCACGGATTAAAATCGTTAACCGGGGGTCCACTGTATATATATATATAATGTGTGTGTGTGTGTGTGTGTGTTTGTATTTAGAGATAGAGATATAAACAGAATTTTTATCATGTGAAAGAGTGCTTGTCATATTAAACTATTATATTACTGATTGTCTTTGCAGGGTGGTGGTGAGACTTATGCTTCTCCACTAAGTGAACCTTTACCTTCGGGTGACACATTACCCATGGCGGGTACACCACTCTCAGTACATCATGAATTACAGCTACTAAGAGAGCAGCTTGAGCAACAGCAGCAGCAAACTCAAGCAGCAGTCTCTCAAGTTCATCTTTTGCGTGACCAATTGGCAGCAGAGACTGCTGCAAGACTGGAGGCTCAGGTAGCTTTATAGTGTCTTTCTGACATATTGTTAATGTTTATCGGTATGTTTAGGAACACTACAGGTGTTAGAATTGTGTAAGTATTTTCACATCAAAAAAAAACCCTTGCGAGTCTTGTCCCACTTAATATCAGAGGAATAAACTCTTTTACTTATGAGCCGGTGATTTTACAATTAAAAAAAAAATCCTTTTTCATAAGTACTGAATATTTACTGAGGTGTGTAGTCACCACTGTCTTGAGTTTGCAGTACATATCATCATGCAAGGCAGTATTAGTGTCATCATCTGAACTTGCAGTTTCACCACTCAGTGATATGCAAGTTGCTACACACCTTTAATCAATTAGTGTAATACATTCTGCAACCTCACATTTCTTTTGCACCAAATCTTTAAACTCCAGTCACAGCACCTAGGCACATGACCCACCTGCCAAATGTGCTCAATTAGTTCTTGCATGCATCAAGTTGCTAAGCATGGTACAGGTGGTCTCTAAGCAAAATTGTTCCCAAATGTATCTTTATTTGCTAAGCCAATTTTTAGGTAAACAGTCATTAAATGTGAGATTACAGGACTGTACTCTACTTTTTATATACAGTAGTAGTTATCAATTTGTGTGTTAGAGTTTACAGATATTAGTTTGTTGCAGTCACATCTGTGAGTTATATTACTCCGTTACATTACAAAATACTAATACAGTATTAATAATTAAATAAGAATACACCACTGATTATAATTTAGTCACTATTGTAAACTGTAGTTGAAGTGTATCAGTAACTTGTTACCTGTACAGAACTACTATAATTTTAGGTCAAGTTCTTGTTCTAAGTATGGTCTTTTGCAGCTTATCAGGCAAATGAAAATAAAAAAAAAAAAGCTTGCAAAAGACATAGGTACTTTGCTTAAATATGAATGTACATATAGTACATATGGTAATTAATTATAAAACAGTCAACTTTCAGGGGGAGAAAAATAAGGCTCCTACAGATTACATTTACTAATGTTAAGCAAATGAAATTTATTACTTGTATCCTTGATTCCTTCTAAATGTACAAATTTAACTTTTAGTCATTATGTATCATTTTGTCTAAAGCTTTTTTTTTTTTTTAGGCTCGTACCCATCAACTCTTAGTTCACAATAAAGAACTATTAGAGCATATTCAAGCATTAGTTCTTCAAGTTCGTGATCTGGAGTTGAAGCTAGCAGGCAGTGGAGGCATCACAGGGACTACGCACCTACTCCCAACACCACCCGAGATAAAATCACAGGTACACACTACTACACTTGTTTGATGTTTAAGGTAACATTGTTTTCAGAATTTATGAAATCTGCAGTTAATACTGAAGTACAATACATTTGAAATATATTATCACTGTTCAAGTCAATATATTGTCTGACTTTGCCTAAAAAAAAAGAGTCTTAAATAATTCTGTAGTAAAAGATATTAATAAACGTGTCATATTGATATCCATTTTATTTTATAATTTGAATGCTATGACAGCCTGTTGCTTTGTTTGCTTTTATTGTTATATATTTTTCCTAAGTTGCTGATTAGCTTGTTTCAAAAATAGCTCAGCTTATTATTTAATTATAATAACATGATTAGATTTTTTTTTTTTTATATTTCCCTGATTTTTACATATAGGTATAATTTTATTTGAACATGCACTTTTTATTATCAAAAAGCAAAGGAGAAATTCACTCTTCTTGAAAATGACTTATGGTATGGTCCTTAAGAGCTGGTCAGCTCCATAGACTAACTAGATGGCCTGGTTTGACATTTTACTTACCTTTTGTTTATTCAAGTTGACAGATCTAATAGTTCATAATAAAGGAGAATGTTATGTGCTTATTAAATTTTACTTTGTGATTTGTAATTTTTGCATTGTTCATAAAACTTCTGAAGATAATTTGGCTTTTCAGAACTTGATATTTTTTATTAAAGTTATCTTATAGTACAGTACAGTTCATTTTAAAGGAACAGGTTATAGTTACATAATAAAGATTTAATAGAAGCACATGATCTGCTTCCTTTATGATATAGATATAGATACTAAAATAAAGTAGAAATAACCAAAGTATTTAGCAAAGTATTGATATGTTTCACATCTGTTACACTACAGTAGTCTACATCTTTCTCATTAGAAATACATACAAAATTAAAAAGGATTTAGATAAATGTTTAGTTAAAAGAGGAGGGTTAATGTATTTGTGTTCCACATGAAATTTCATCATCAATATGAACTGGATCCAAATGGCATACTACTGACAATAGCCAAGAAAAGACACATTACAGAATGAGTTTTTAATAAGGCAACATTTTCCTGTGTGCAGGGTAATATTTTGTGAAGGGATTCAGGGAAACTGATTAGCTGGATTTGAGTCCCGGAGGTGGGAAGTATAATGCCTGCACTTTAACCCTTTGACTGTTTATGTCGTATATATACGTCTTACACGCCACTGTTTCTGACATATTTATACGCGTAAATTCTAGCAGCTTCAAATCGAGCAGGAGAAAGCTGGTAGGCCTACATGTGAGAGAATGAGTCTGTGTGCACCACATAAAAAAAATCCTGCAGCATGCAGTGCATAATGAGAAAAAAAAACTGACCCTTTTTTTGGGGGGATTAAAATGCCGACTTTGAGGTGTATTTTCGTATAGTATTTACCGTTGTATTCTCGTTTTCATGGTCTCAAGTGATAAAATGGAAAACATATTACAGAAATAGAGATGATTTTCATTGTTTTCACGATGAAAACGACCTTGAAATTGAGCTCAAAGTAGCGAAAATGTTCAATTTTTACCAATGTTCAAGAGTAAGCAAATTACACCACACGTCCAATACACGTCAACTGGGGAGTCTAATATTCTTTCACTAGTACACTGATATTATTTATACCATTTTTACAATAATGCAGTAGTCTGCATAACAGTAAATTTTGTACTTTTTTTGTATGAATAAAAAATCAAAATAGAAAGCAATAATAATACAAGAGGGGCCTAGAGACGTGACTAATGAACAGAGGATATGTTATTTTAGTGCCAAGAATGTCTACATTGTTTATTCTAGACCGTATTTTGAAATTGGCATCTTTTTTAATTTGCATGAAATTGGCCAAATTGCCAATTCTGATCACTTTATTGGGTAGTTCAAATCAGTAAATGGGCGGTTTCTTATACTCAACTGATAAAAAAAGTGGAGTTCTAAAGAAATAGCTATGAGTTTGGTCAACTGGAACAACGGAATTGGCCAAATACAGGGCTCAAAGTCGGCGAAATTACCGATGCATATATGTCGCTGAGACCGTTAACTTCACGGGAGCGTAATTCCGTGAGTTTTCGACCAAATTTCGGACTTTTGAAGTCATTACCATCGGGAAAAGATTCTCTATCATTTCATAAGAAAAATAATTTTTTTTTTTCCAAAACTTTTGCGACAGAATGACAGTTTCAGAAAGGGGCTTGTGACAGTCAAAGGGTAAAGGAGGGGTCTGGAGTACAGTGAACCCTTGAATTTCATGATTAATCCGTTCCAGAGAGTCTGCCAAAATTCAAAATTCACTATTTTCAATACCATTTTCCCCATAAGAAATAATGTAAATCAAATTAATCTGGTTCACACACCCAAAAGTATTAAAAAAAATATTTTTTTTACATTAACCCTTAAATGGTCCAAACGTATATATAAGTTTTTTCAACATCTGAAAGTATGTAAAAAAAAGTAGATCTTCTTTCTTGTTTTACATTTGAAAATGTGTAAAAAAAACTTTTATCTACATTTCTTTTTTGTTATATTTGAAAATATGTAAAAAATACGTAGATCTACTTTTGGAGCACTACGGATTTGAACGTCGATCTGTTTGGACCCTTTAAGGGTTAAATGTACATTTATCTACACAGAAAACAATGAGACATGAAGAATAAAACAATAATAACTTGACACTTACCTTTATTGAAGAGTTGATGTGTGGAAGACAGGAGGGGAGAGGACAGAAGAGCTATTATTGTTTGGAAGGGGAATCCCCATCCACAAAGACTTCATGTACCAATTCCTTTTCTGTGGTTACTTCCCTTCATTATTTTTTAATGCCACTAGGACCAACTTGAGAGTCACTGGACCCCTGTCACTCAAAAAATTGTTCCAGAAAAGTCTGCTTCTGGCATTTCTTTAAAATTTGCCTAAAATGAGACAAGATGTCGCATACACGGCCTGCAACAGCTTTGTCAGGGTGATGTTCCTCCACAGATCTTTCCATCCTAGTTCACATTGCATACATCTCCTTAATCTCTGAAGAGAATTTCCTCTGAAGCAATTTCCTGAGCTGTGGTCTGTTGCTGTTGCAGATTAAGGTCTAGCAGCTCTTCAGTGGTTAGCTTTTCATTGTAGTCCTCCATCAACTCTTCCATATCCTTGCCACTAACCTCCAACCCCAGTGACTTCTCCAATGCCACAATAGATTCCACAACTGGCATAGGGTTGTCATGGTCAGCCTCAAACCCTTCAAAATCTTTGTTGAGGACACAATTTTCTCCAAGCAGAGTTCATCGTCCTGGAAGTCACTCCCTGCCAAGCCTTACTATAAGGTTTATGCATGGAGGATATTGAAGTGATCTTTCCAGAACTCTCTTAGGGTCAGTTCAGAGTCCAAGGTTATGTTAAAGCACCTTTGAAACATTGCTTTGGTGTAGAGATTTTTGAAGTTTGAAATGATCTGCTGGTCCATAGGCTAGAGGAGAGGAGTGGTATTAGCCCTTTGACTGTTGCAACCCCAAATCCTGAAGTGTCTCCTGGTGTCGAAAAATTTTTGGGATAAAAAATTCTTTTTCTTATGAAATGATACAGAATCCTTTCCCGATGGTAATGACACCAAAAGTATGAAATTTGATCAAAAACTTACGGAATTACGCTTCTGCGAAGTTAGCAATCTCGGCAATATATACGCATCGGCGATTTTACCGACTTTGAGTGTCCATTTTCAGCTAATTCCATTGTTCCAGTCAACCAAACTCATAGCTATTTCTTTAGAACTCTACTTTTTCTATCAATTAAGTACAACAAACCGCCAATTTACTGATTTTAACTACCCAATAAAGTTGTCAGAAATTGGCAATTTGGCCAATTTCATGCAAATTAAAAAAGATGCCAATTTCAAAATAGGGTCCAGAATAAACAATACATTCTTGGCACTAAAATAACATATCCTCTGTTCATTGGTCACATCTCCAGGCCCCTCTTATATTACTCTTGCTTTCTGTTTTGATTTTTTATTCACACAAAAAATAGAAGATTTACTGTTATGCAGACTACTGCATTATTGTAAAAATGGTATAAATAATATCAGTGCACTAGTGAAAGAATATTAGACTCCCCAGTTGACGTGTGGTGTGATTTGCTTACTCTTGAACATTGGTAATAATCGAACATTTCTGCTACTTTGAGCTCAATTTCAAGGTTATTTTCATCATGAAGCTAATCAAAATCATCTCTATTTCTGTAATATGTTTTCCATTCTATCAAATGAGACCATGAAAACGAGAATACAACCATAAATACTATAGGAAAATACACCTCAAAGTCGGCATTTTAATCTAAAAACACAGTTGGAGTTTTTTTCTTTCATTATGCACTGTGTGCTGCAGGATTTTTTTTTATACAGTGCACACTGACCACACAGACCCATTCTCTCACATGTGGGCCTACCAGCTTTTCCCTGCTTGACTTGAAGCTGCTAGAATTATTGAGTATGTATATGTCCGAAACACTGGCTCGTAAGACGTATATATACGGCCGAAACAGTCAAAGGGTTAGGGAGCAAGAACTTCACTGTGATAAAGTTAAACTCCTTCACCATTTGCTCTTCCAAGTCTGGAGGATGAGCAGGAGCATTGCCCATTACCAGGGGGCGTTCATACGACCACCGATTTGTAAGCCAAATCACGAAAATCAAGCCAATATTTTGATGAAAAAAGTCGCAGATTTCCAAAATTCACGATATTCAAGGGGGGATGAAATTCAAGGGTCCACTGTATTTGCTGTTTATAGTGACATCTAAACTGTCATATCTGCTCACCTCTGCAAAGACAAGTGATAGTACAGTATTTTATTAATTTTCATTCCTTGTATCACTTAATGCCTCTTCCCTTAACCCATTCCATTGTTCTTTCACTGTGAAAAGAATATCTAGTACCCTTTTAGTGCTGTCTTTTCTCGTGTGTACAAATGTTGCCTCCTGTTATCCATGTTCATGATGTAAAGAAATCTTTTTTTTTATTCTGTGTCCTTTCATGACCCTGTATGTGATTAATTATCATGTCAGTTCTTTTCCTCTTTTCTGCCAGTGAGGATTCTCTATGAGTTTTTTCATATTTTTTCATACTTTTTAAGGCCTATATACCACACCACAACTGCATTTTCTAGTTTTACCCTAACATGATAAAAAGCTACTGTATATGAAATCTTGAGACACTTGTATCTTACACTGTTACCGTAAAATAGCCTCTAGATGTGTGGATAGAGCATACTAAAAGAAAAGCTATTTTATGGTTTGACAGTGTAGGATACGAGTGTCACAAAATTTCATGTGCAGTATGTAGTTTCTTATCATTTTTCTTTAAATATTGATTACAATAATAGTTGCAGAATTAATAGCGAGGACTGTTCCTGTATCAGATTAGTGTCAATAAAGTACTGAAGTATTTAGAATATCATTGACATTTCATAAGTTGCATGCTGCTGTGTGTAAATTTTTAGTTCCTGTGTTGTGAGAATTCCTGTAGTAAACTATATTTTAACTATTGACTCTGTTTGATGTGACTAACTGCTGCAGTAGAGCCTAACACCTGACTTCACCATGGATTCTGAGCACAGAGGTCCACTAAGGCTAAATGACCTTGTGATGAGGTATGCATGGCTCAGTAGTAATTTTTGTTTGCAGAAGCATGGTGTGTAGTGGCTGCTGCAGCGAGTGGCCAACTCATGCTCTCTCTCTGGCCAGCTCTTGGTGACCGATGCCAGCCCTGGCCACAGTAGCCAGTTAGCGGCAGCGTTGGATCTTGGAGGTCCGGCATCCCTCCTGTACTGCTCCCCTGAACCCCCACCCACACCCTCGCCTGGCATAGCTCAACGTACTTTCCTTTTCCCATCACATTCATCCCCAGTCAGTTCTGCAACCTCCCTTCTAGGGGCTTATCAGCCACCTATTGGACCCCAGTATGAATCCAGCTCTGTTTCTCACTCATGTGAACCCTCGCCTCGGACAACAAAGATGGGAACATTAATACACCCTTTACCTGTGTGGGGAAGTGAGGGATTCATTGCTGGGGGAGTAACCCTGGCTGTGCCCCAACAGGAACCACTCATGAATCCTAAGCTGCAAGGAGTTCCACGGCCCCGGGCAGGTCAACGCTACGACGAGTGCAGCAGTACACTTTCCCTCAGCAGCGAGAGTGATCCTAAACGAGATAGCAGTGGTCAGTCTTCAGGAGAAAGTGTTACACAGGCTGTGGCTCAGCTCTACTCCATGGAAACTCAACGTTTGGCACAAGTACCAGAAGATGCTGTTACTTTTGGTCTTTATGGGCCTACACCACTTGGCACACCCCGCAACCTGAATGGACCCATCACACGTACTGCTAGTGAGCGAGTTTCCCGACAGGAAACATTGGCTCAACTGCAACGTATGGCATGGGCTAGACATACCACCAAGTGAAACATATACTAGGCTTCATCTGGATAATTAAAAACTTTTTAATTAACTGTTCCAAACTAGTGCCCAGTACAGTACTAAGTGTATCAGACTATTCCATACAAGGAAAATGCATTTCCTTGAAATGGTAAACTACTGTATGCTGTTAAATACATTTCCATTAAAAATATATATGTACATTGAATCTTTTTTAAAAAGTGAACAGTGATACATTCTGTGCAGATTTCACAAACTCAGTGATAAATTTAATAAATAGGGGTGAAGCGCTCCATGTCATACACGTGTGTACGGTTGTTAAAGTGGGTCAGCCTGCTGTGCATGAATGAGTGTGAGCACCAAATACACCCACACCCTTCAAAACCTGTGATACAGTCGAGTGTCCCTTGAGTGTTTGTAACTCTTCAGGCATACAAAACTTAGTCTGAAGCCCATAGTATGAAACAAGATATCGTGGCTGCTTACCTCTTGAACAAATTTCAGGACATAAAATTTCCAGTAACAGTGATAAGTTATAGATAATGTAACAGTTGTGTTTGATTAAAATGGCAGTCATTTCTTACTTATAGGTAGCCACTTGTTTAGTTTTGTTAAAAATAAGTATGATTTTTAGGTATTTAATCTAGTTTTAGCAATTGTAATTAAATCTCCACTAATAGAGAGTGAATCTCACTGGAGCCTATTTGAGGTTCAAAGTGTGGAAACTCCTGGGACGTAGAAATTGTTTGTAGCTGTGGGCTCCTTTCTGCGAGTCACCTAAGGATTGTTCAGAGTTGATGTCATACTCATGTCATATCACCTGTGTTGCCAGATGAGAATCATTGTAAAGGTCACATCTTCTATAGTCATGCATTTGGCAATACTGTATATCACCAACCTGAGACATTTTTCCTAACTCCATATTCCTTTGTATATAGATCCAGTCTAGAGTAAGACACCTGTTCTGTATATTTTTATGTACACTTCAGAACTAGGCAAGAAGACAAATCATACCAGTAAATACTGTATGTAGCCTTAAGGATCTGGAATCTCAAGTGACACGTATGTTATATAGAATACAATGACCTTCATTTTGTTGTTTCAATACACTGCTAGTGGTTTATCATTAGTCTGAATTCTGGTGTAGATTTTCCTGTAAAAATCATTCGTTCTAATTTCAGTGTATGTTACAGTCATCCTGTTGACAGTATTGATGACTATTTTGTTACAGTGCCAATTTTAGTGCCAAGACAGGTTGTGTGACCAGAACTACTGTATTTCAGTAAGAAGTATTATTATTCATATTATCTCACATGCACCAACATGGCTAATTGCTGGTGTCCAGATTGCATGTCATAATTTTTTTATACTAAGAAACACAAGTCCAACATTCAAAATTCTTAAAATAAAATATGAATTTAGAGTACCTCTCTGTTTTGCTTATTGTATTGCAGTTCTTTCCAGTATTGTAGGTAATGCAGTAAAAATTATTATTTATTATTATAATCAAGGGGGAAGCGCTAAACCCGGAGGATTATACAGCACCTGGGGGGGGGATGTGGAAGGCATTCAGGCTTAATTTGGGGAACTGGAGCACAGATCCAATTCCCTAAATCAAGAGCCCCTCACCAACATCAAGGAACCTTCCTTGAGGGGAATGCAGTAAAAAATTATTGATTTTAAATGTTAATTTTTAAATTCTGTACATCAGTATACAGGAAGCTGTTTTGTGAAATCAGTATAGTATTTGTTAATCTAAAAATTTTTATATAGAATACCCCTGCATATAATTCAGTTTAAATAATGTTGAGTATCATATATACATTATTTTTAGAATTTGTGAATACAGTTTAAAATAATTGAATTGATTAAATGTTTAAATAAAAACATAGTAAGCTGACCACCTGCAGCTAGGCATGTTAAAATTCTTGTGTTAGTGTTTCATCACTTCATACTAGTCTAAAATTGGCTTTTAGCAGCTGCTCTCTGTCTCCAATAAACAACAATGATAACATAAGCATAGAGGGATCAGAATGCTCATTGAGATTACAACCGATTATCTTTTACACTCCTACTGGTTTAGGAGTGTCTAGAAGAGATTGTGCTGTTTATTAGTTATGTAAGTATATAAAAGTTATATTTGGGAGGAAGATGGTTGCATCAGGCACAAACTAATGCCATCCATATATGTGACATGACCATTTAGTTCAATTTGAGCTTATATCAATCAGATTAGCTTTTGCTTCGCTAGTAGTCAAATAGTAAATCCTATTGTATCCTCTGGTTAAGATCATAACCAATGTTCTTGTTCCAAAACTAGTTGAAGTGTATTTCCTTAAGTAGGTTATATTGGAATGATTATGATTGTGGATGTTACTCTCTTGTTAAGAAATACAGGTAAGCACGATCTTAGAATTCATATTTATTCCACTTCATCCCAGTAGAAAAGTCTCAGTATTGCTGCTTGAGTCACATTTAGAAACCAGAACCTCTAGTTTATGTACAAATACACTGTTGTGTAGATTCAGCCCTTTTTCTTTAACAATGCTTATAAATTATAAAAGATTTGCAAATAATTATCTTTAACATAATGAAACAACTGAATTGCTGGACTTCAGTGTTGTTTTAGAATTTGGGCAATTGTCATTGAGATGTACTTAAGTTTTTATCCATCTGTCCTTCAATAAAATTATTTCCAGAGATGCTTGATTTTGTGTAGTCCTTTTCTTTTTTTTTTCAATCGGTGTATTTATAATGTGATATATTTTGCCAATTATGTGTATGTTTGCTGTTATGCTTCCACTTATGCAAATTATACAACACGAAATGTTGCATGTGTTTTAGTGATTTTTATATGTGATATAGAACCCCCCAAAGTTTTTACATAATATATAGTAGTCCCAATATTTTACTGCAAGTTCAGACTTTAAGTGTTACTGTAATATGCAATATTTTTACTTTGTAGGCCAGAAGCATAATTGTGCCTATGGCCTTCTAACGTTCATCACTCAGTTGTAGGAAACTACTCTTATGAATGCATATTGGACACGAGACTCATGTGGAGATCTCACAAAAAGAAGCCCAGTGTGCCTCTGTGAGAACTGTCTCGTTATGTAGAAAGTGAAAATATCTTTTTGACTGATTGTCCCATTTATCAAGGAGTACACTGAACTCGTTTTTGACCACTTCAGTGCCGTAATGCCCTTTCTCAGCCTGCTCTGTTCTTCCCTCTGAAAGTCTCACCTTTAATACACACTATGATCTTTGAAACTAACTTAAAATATCCTAAAGTCTGTTTAACCTATGAAGGTTATTAATCCACTATAACCCTCCTATGTACAGTCTTTAAAAAAAATATGTATAATAATGGCTCTCATTTCTGACACTTGGTGGGCAGGATATACTGTCACTAATTCAGCCAGATGGTTATTCATACTAAGAGACATGTTACAATTAACCCTTTCAGGGTCCCCAGGCCCTCTCCCAGACTTGTTTTCAGGGTCGCCCAAATTTCAAAAAAAATAAATAAATTATTTTTCTTACGAAAAGATAGAGAATCTTTTCCCAGTCATAATGACGCCAAAAGTATGAAATCTGATGGAAAACTTACGGAATTATGCTCTCGCGAAGTTAGCGGTCTTGACGATGTTTACGCATCAGCGATTTTGCCCAATTTGAGCCCTATTTTCGGCCAATTCCAGTGTACTAGTCGGCAAAAATCATAACTATTTCACTAGAACTCCATTTTTTCTATCGAACGAGTACAAGAAACCACCCATTTACCGATTTCAACTATCCAATACAGTGGTCAGAATTTAGCAATTTTGCCAATTTCACACAAATTTCAAAAGATGCCAATTTCCAAATAGGGTCCAGAATAAACAAGAAAGACATTCCTGGCACTAAAATAACATTTCCTCTGTTCATTAGTCACGTCCCCACGCCCCTCTTACATTCTTTTGCTTTCCACTTTGAATTTTTTATTCTCAAAAAAAATAGAAGATTTACTGTTATGCAGACTACTGCATTAGTGTAGAAATGGTATAAATAATATCAACGCACTTGTGAAAGAATATTAGACTCACCAGTTGACGTGTATTGGACACTTAGCATGATTTGTTTACTTTTGAACTTTGGTAAAAATCGAACATTTCTGCTACTTTGAGCTCAATTTCAAGGTACTTTTCATTGTAAAACCAGCGAAAATCATCTCCATTTCTGTAATATGTCTTCCATTCTATAAAATGAGACCAGGAAAACTAGAATACAACAATAAATACCATACGAAAATACAGTGCAAAGACTGTTTTAATCCAAAAACACAGTCAAAGTTCTTTTTTTTCTCATTACGCACTGTGTGCTGCAGGATTTTTTTTATACTGTGCACACTGACCACATAGACCCATTCTTTCATATGTAGGCTTACCAGCTTTCTCTCACTAGATTTGAGGGCGCTAGAATTTAGGCGTACTAGTACGTCAAAAACCCTGGTGCGTAAGCCGTACTAGTACGTCCGGAACCCTGAAAGGGTTAATAACTGTGTTTCTGATTTCAAAGCTGAACTGTTTGTCATATTTATTTCTCTCAAGCTTCCAAAAGTTAAATTAAACAGCGCTGCACTGTATGACCCTTGTGGTTTAGTGCTTGTTTTTGATTATAATAATAATAATAAAGAGTAATTGTCTCTTGACTTCCTATTCTCATTGCTTGTTTGTGATAACCTAAGAATCACATGTAACATTCCAGTATCTGAAGCTGAACAGAGATAGTACAAATTATCAACAATGAAATTCAAGTAAAATCTTGTGGCACATCCATTCCAATTGTCATTTTCAACCCCTCGGGTACACGGAACTGACCTCTGCAATGTCATTTAACCATATCCATTTAACATATCATCCGATTTAAGTTTTTTATTTGTTTGGGGGCTAAAGAATTACAATGACCTAAGCCAATGTGAACCCTATGCCAAAGCATCAGCTCATGAAAAGGTGAGGGCCCAAAAATTACAGTTGATATACTTATTCAGTGGGCCCCCAAAAAAGACATATGTGGGAACCAGGTTGAGCCGCAACTTCGTATCCATATTTGGTCCCCGTCAAGGACTGCACCTTGATTGATCAAATTGTGGGGGTAAAAATGTTTACGTAGTGAGGGCCAATGAAAAAAAAGAACATGAAAAATACAGTGGTACTCATAGTCCTTATCTGTTCCCTGACCTTGGGCTTTTACAAAAACAGGAGTATACCAAACAAATTTTTCCCCCAAAAAAAGTTAGAGAAAACGATTAATCGTTTTCTTGAAAAAATCTGTTGTTGGCATATTATACATTTTTGGGGTTTTATAAAATAATTTAAAACACTGCTTAATACTAAAAACATACATAAAAATACAAAAGAATTAGTGAAATAAGAAAATTTTAATCACTTTTCTTTGCAAATCGTGGAACCTCAGTTTTTGTCTTTAATTCATTCCCGAGGCTGACAAAAAAATGAATTCAATGAACACTGAGCAATATTTCCCCTAAAAAATAATTTTTAAATCCCAAATTTAAACCATTTCCCGACACCCAAAAAATTAATAAAAAAAAAAATTTTTTTTAGAGAATAACTATAGTTTTACATACAAAAAAAATGAGAAATAAATATAAATCTCTTGAAATGGATAATGACATTAAATCACTACCACCCTCTACCACCATCACAACCACTACCACCCTCTACCACCATCACTACCACCCTCTACCACCATCACTACCACCCTCTACCACCATCACTACCACCCTCTACCACCATTGAATTCTATCATGTTTCTTGCCTTCTTTCTTTGGCCCCATGGTGGCTTATTTAGCAGTCGCACTCAATAAACAAGCACAAAAAACAATGGATTATTACGAAATGTTTCATATGAATGTGCAGGGTAATGTTCCCTCAACGAGAAACAAAGCTAGACTGACTCAGAATGCGTGAGTGAGATGCTTTGTGTGGGCGCTGGCAGACAGACACATTTGGTACAGCAGACGAAAACCGAGGTGATGAACAAAAACTGGGACAATTATACAAGGAAATACAGTGGTACCCCAAGTTTGGCCATAATTCGTTCCAGAAGGCGTGCCATTACTGAACGAATTTGTTCCCTTAAGGAATAATGTAAATTAAATTAGTCCGTTTCAGACCCCCAAAAATACACTTACAAAAGCACTTACATAACTGTTTGAGTTGGGAGCTGTACGAAACTTGGGGTACCACTGTATGTTGATAAACATTATTAAAAAATTGACTGTTTATAAATTGAACATTGGCTAATTATATCTCCCATACATCCCTCAGAAAAGGATATGCTGAGCTCCATTATAATGTTAACTCGGCATCTCTTTCAGCATAACTGGTGGGGATATTTTCTCTTCCGTCTAGCCTATGGTAAATGACATGGAATGAATTATGTATATGGAGTGTGGAATGTAAAAAAATAAATAAGATTAACTAGTTTTACTTGCTTTGTAATGATGGTCACAACAGCTGCAAATTACTAGAGTAATTGTAATAATGAAGGAAATGAAATACAGTAAGTCGTCTCCTTGACAGACCTCATAAATGAATTTTGGCAATTTCTAAAAAAAAAATTGGCCAGATAAATGCTCTAATTATTGGACACAATGAACAAAAATCTGTAAATCTGCATTCTGCCTGTAATGATACCAGGCCAAGTTGGCCAACTCTGACATTTGTCTGGTACTGGCCAAAGTGGCCACATCCAGGGCCTGTCTGTTATCATTGTTTCCTGAAACATAGGCCACCCTCACCAGTTTATTGTTTTTACTCACTCACACACACACTTGTCATTCAGTCTCTAAATGTCCTTTTGTGTGACTTTATTAACATATTAAGTAAAGTACAATTAACAATAACTTCTAAAGCAAGTGATGGTGCCAAGAGAACACATATGGTTCTCAGTGTTAGGAAGAACTTGAATAAATAAAGAAGGTTGAGTCTGATGTCTCAGTAACATGGGTATGTAAGGAATAAGGTGTTAGAAACAATGTCTGATATCCATAAAAGCAAAAATAAACTTACAGATTATACTCCTAAGTTGGTCCTAGAAAACATATGAAAACAGCCTATGGTTACAGCAGTTTACACCTCATGTCTCCATCATGAAAACGTAAGTAAAATTACTGTAAAGTACATAGTTTTATAAAATTACTATATAATACAGGTCCCTCAAGGAAGGTTCCTTGATGTTGGTGATGGGCTCTTGATCTAGGGAATTGGATCTGTGCTCCAGTTCCCTGAATTAAGCCTGAATGTCTTCCACATTCCCCCCACAGGCGCTGCATAATCCTATGGGTTTAGCACTCCCCCTTGATTATAATAATAATAATAATAATATACAATACAGTACTATACTGAAGTATTCCTAGTGTCTGGTCGTCTTCTGCATCAGTAGACATCCGGACAATCATGATATACTAATTTCATAATTTGGGCATTGCGGACAATTGGCAATATCATACACTCTCCTTCCCCTTATTAGCCCATTAACGAGAGGTTTCGCTGTATGTCTAAAGAGTGGAATAACCAAGCAGTTCTAGTGCTTTGTAAATGAAATAAAACAAACACCAAACAAGCCTGGCCCAAGGCTGGGCTCTGGAAGTAGAAAAATTCTAGGAACTCATCAAAGGTAAAAGTAAACAATCCATCAC